TCTTAGAGCCTCCCATTCCTTAGAGCTAGTACTAGCCCCACCCCCAGAACTCCCTAACACTAGACCTGCCCCCAGAACCCCCAGTGCCTACCCCGCCCCCCTCACCTAGCCTTCGCTGCCTCCCAGATGTCAGCTGAGTGCTGCTGCCCAGGTCATGGCTGCTCTAAGACTTCAGTGCCGGGCTCCGTGCAAAGCTCTCTTCCGTGGCTGGGAAGAGACCCCTCCTCCGCCCGGCAGTGGTTGGCTGAGGCGGGACAGGACATGCCTCTCCCAATAGCTGCAGCAGGAGAGGTGTACCCCAGTCCCAGCCCCCAGAGCTGCTGAGGTCCAGTTGTCAGAAGTCTACAGCCCGGCTGCGGGCTGCGGCCTGGCAGTTGGGAACCACTGTGGTAGGGGAAGGGAAGAGGAAACTGTTGTGTATTGGGTTGTTGTAGATATAGATCTTGTTGTTGTTGTTGTTATAGTTACTGAGTTAGGTCGCTAGGGGTCAGCCCAGCCGATCTGGGCTGGTTCTAGTTAGTTGTGTGTTATGGAATAAACGGACACTTGCAACTGCTCGAGCTCTCTGCGTTTCCAGTGATTTCTTTCTAAACTGTGAACTCTTAAACGATATAACAGAAACTATTAGAGCAGGAATCCCGCTTGTCCCCGTTCTCCCCGACACTGGCCCGTGACCCCCCCCAAATGCTCAGGCAGTTGCACCCCTCTCTCTTTTCTCCTCTCCCCGCGTGCAAGGGTTGTGACTCCTGGAGCAGAACGCTAGTCCCAGATCAAACCACAAAGCGACCAGGATCTCTGCTCCTGGCATGGCTGATGGAAGAGGGGGCTGGATTCTGGTGGGGGTGTTCCCCGGTGGTTCCTCAGGTCTGAGTCCGCGGCTCAGCCATGCCTCTCCGTCCCTCCCCTCCAGGTCGAAGGACATCGAAGCCTCTGGGTTCAACGGCACAGCTGCCTTCATGGAGGTGCGGGTGCAGTCCATAGTCGTGGAGTTTATCCTCACCCACGTGGAGCAGCTCTTTGGAAATGCCCCTCTCTGTGGTAGGTCCCGCCCTGGTGCTGAGCCCTTGGTGCTCTGGGGCCCTCCCACCACCAGGTCACCTGCTCTGTGGAGGGAGACTGGCAGGCCCAGCCAATGGGGTCGCCAAAATGTGTGGGCTCTTCGCAGTGGGAGGAGGGATCAGTGCTATGGGGCAGGGACGTTCTTTGGTGGAAACGTGTTTGTTTACGGAGCACGTCCATAGACTCCTGCCATGGCAGAAATAACCAACGGCAGGGAGTTTCCTTGCTCAGAAATCCCCATGTCTGCCTCTCCAGCAGCTCTGTGCCCAAGAAGCCCTGCTTCTCTGCTTCCTCCCTGTATCCCACTCAAAATTGCTTTGCCTGGCTTTTTGCCTTCAACACCCGCAGCATGCAGCTGCTACCCTCAGCCTGGCTAGCTACCTGCATGAGCTCCAGTCTGGACGTGCAGCTTAACGCTTTGGCTGGTCGCTCCCTTTGTCACCAGCTGGTTTTACTCCGCAAAGGGTCTGGAAGGCGTCTTCTCCTTTGCCTGAAGGAGGGCGTTTGGCTCCCACTGGCTTTAACAAGGTCTGCGATTGTCTTTGTACCCGAGGCTCCCTGCTGGCCGACACTAGTGCCCACCCCCAGCCCCGAGAGCCACTGAATCATCCCGGTGTTTGTTTCCCCATCCTAGGAAGTGACCGTGAGAACCTCCGGAAATCCCTCCTTCTGTCCGGCCTGGGGTTTCCAGGAATCCACCCCGATTGCCAGACCCTGTCCTACAATTTGCCTGCCATGCTGAACCAAGGGGACGGCCCGCCGCAGATCCGCCCTTTGCCCACCCCCAGCCCCGAGAGCCACTGAATCATCCCGGTGTTTGTTTCCCCATCCTAGGAAGTGACCGTGAGAACCTCCGGAAATCCCTCCTTCTGTCCGGCCTGGGGTTTCCAGGAATCCACCCCGATTGCCAGACCCTGTCCTACAATTTGCCTGCCATGCTGAACCAAGGGGACGGCCCGCCGCAGATCCGCCCTTACCACACCATCATCGAGCTCCACGAACACAAGTACGGGCTCTGTCTTTCCTCTCTCTTCTCTGCCAGGGTATGTCTACACTAGCCCCCAGTTCGAACTAGGGAGGCTAATGTAGGCATTCGAAGTTGCAAATGAAGTCCGGGATTTAAATATCCCAGGCTTTATTTGCATGTTCCCGGGCGGGTGCCATTTTTAAATCCCCTTAGTCCGAACTAACTGCCCGCGGCTACACGTGGCAGTCAAACGTGGCGCCCCAACAGGAAGATGCAAATAAAGCCCGGGATATTTAAATCCCGGACTTCATTTGCAACTTCGAATGCCTACATTAGCCTCCCTAGTTTGAACTAGGGGGCTAATATAGACACTCTCAGGCTTTACCAGCTGCCTGGGTTTAATCCCCAGTGACCCCGTTGCAGATGGGTCCCAGGAGCAGGGCAGGGGTTGGTTTGAGGACATGCACTGAGCACTAGATGCTTTCGCACATCATCTGTGCTCTAATGCACCAGATTCTCCAGGGAGATGGTCCCTCCCAGTGTTCCCAGGGGGTGGTGTGCTTGTGCGGCCACTCAGGAGAAATTCACATGCTGCCCAGCTGGTTAGCAGAGCGCCCCTAGCTAGGTTTTGTGTTTCTATTGGTGGCGCACGTCTACACACGTCTCTGTGCACATACAAATTTATTCCGCACATGGGTGGAAAAAATCCACTCATGGATGGACAAGATTAGCGGAAACAGTGGTCCCTCCCCATGCATAGAGAGGGACAAGCAGGAGGAGAAATGGAAAACAAGATCTGTGCCAGCTGGGCAAATGGCTGGTGAATCGCCCTGCTCTGTTCGTAGACAAGTAACCTCAATACGCTCCAGTCACTAGAGGGGGACAGTCACTATATGCACACCTGTGCCCATGCACACACCATGAAATATGCAGGGACTGGCCTAGCACAGCTCCAAAGGGGGCAGACACAGACCACCCCCACAGACCATGATGGAAAGCAATCTACATCCAGGCAGTTCTGATATATCCTAACGGGGCCCAAGGGTGCATGCACGCCCACATCCTGCAGACCTGGGCTACCTCCACCTTGGCCTGTGCGTACCTTTCCAACCTCTGCCATTCTTCACAGAAGAAAAGGATCCCTGAAGGCAAAGAAATGGAGGTCGATCTTCCACCTGGGCAGATCCAGCGCTGACTCCAAACGCAAGCTGGCCAAGGCGGAGGAGAAAGGTGCGGGGGCGGAAGAGAACTGAGTGAGGAAGGAATGGGCGAGAGCTGTGGAGAACGGGTGGTTAATTTGATCTGAAATGCTGGGTGATCTTGCCACATGACTGGCCTCTGCTGTCAGGAATAGCCCCACCTGGAACTCAGCAGCCATCCCATGGGAAATCCCCACCTGTCGGAATCTCCTTCCACCCAAAACTGGAACAAAGCTGAAATTTTGAAATTCCCCACAAACTCCAATGCAGCCATGGCCAACCTGTGGCTCTTCAGCCACATGTGGCTCTTGCCCCCCAAAAGTGTGGCTCCCCCTCCTTTTATCCTGCACCCCACAACAGTAAGGACAGGCACACTTGCATATATTGGACCTTCGGAGGGCACTATCCTTTTATATAGACAGAACCAGAGACTGGCACAAAAGGGACCATCTGTTAGTCTCCCCCATGATCCCTGGCTTCCCTGTGCTTACAGGGTCTGAGCTGCAGGATTTTAAAAATGGCACCCAAGATGGTGGCCGTCTTAAAGGGGCATCCTCCTTTTTAATTTTTTTTTTTTTAACTCCGTTTGTTAAATGGGTTGACCACCCTGCCCTAATGCTTGGGGGAAAACAATCAGTTTGGAAATATCCAAGCAGTTCTTTCTGATAAGGTGAAACAGCTTGTTTCTGATAACACGGTGCAACACAACGCAATGCCGTAAACTCCACACAAAACATTTTGATAATTTTTCATCAAACACTCGGGTGAAATCGATACATTCCTGGGGGAGGTCTCCCCAACACAGCTCTAGGTCCATGAGGTGCTGAAGGCTAAGGGGTGGGCTAGCCGGGCAGCTGCTCAGGGCGCCAACCTACGGGGAGTGCCCGGCTCCTGGCGGGCTGCAGTCCGCACGGCCGTGTTAACCCCCATAGCACCTGCCAGCAGCGCCTTTCCCCCCACAGCCGCAGGGCCCTGCACGGCCAGGCGCAGCCCGCCCCAGGCTGCACACCATCAGCGCTGGCTGGGCTGACTGGGAAGCGCATGCGCCGTGCGTCCGCTCACCCATCCTGGGGGCGGGCCCGCGCATGCGCCATGCTCCCGGAGGCGGGCCTGTGCGTCCTGGGGGCGAGCCTGCGCATGCGCTGTGCACCCAGAGGCAGGGCCCAGAGCACCAAAATGGCTTGGGCCAGGCCTGGCTGCAGGGAGGGGTGATCCAAGCCCAGACCCATTTTGCCCTCAACCCCACTCTGTGCAGCAATCCATACTTTGGCTGCTTCTGCAGCTCCTCCTGCCGTCTGGCGTCTCAGGCCAGGTCTACTGTGTCGTTCACAGTAGTGAAAAATATTGCACTCTGGGGGTACATCTACACTGCACCATGAGTGCAAGATAACTAGAGTTATTTCGAAATAACAATGCGAGCGTCTACACAGCTATTCCATTATTTCGAAATAAGATGGCTTATTCTGAAATCTGTAAACCCCATTCTACCAGGAATAACACCTATTCCAAAATAGCTCTTTCGAAATAGGCCTGTGTAGACGCTCCACTGCTGCTAGTTCGAAATAAGTTATTCCATTCTAAGTTATTCCACCCTGGTGCCTCTTGGGGCTCTAAATCAAGATAGCACGTCTACATTAGAGAAGCCTGCTTCGGACTAATTTTGAGGCTTCCCTGCAGTGTAGACATGCTATTTTAGAATAACTATTTCGAAATACCCATGCAGTGTAGACGTACTCTGAGTGCCGGAGTTTCGTCAACCTGACCCTCTGTGTAGCCCTTGCCAGAGGTGAAAGGAAGAGGGTGCACCCTGGCGCACAACTCCGGCAAGAGCTGGGTGATCTGCGGCAAAAGCCAGCAGGGAGCTATTGAAAGAGCTGGCAGGGACCCGGGTTTCAATAAGACAGTACCTGTAAGAAATTGTAAGTTACTTTCACCACCTCCTGGAGAGGTAGACTAACTACAGCAACAGAAACCCCCTTTCAGAGTAGGAAGCATCCGCGCTATGGCACTACGGCAGAACAGCTGTGACTCTCTAGCAGCTGTAGTGTAGACGTACCCGGAGAGTCTATCGATTTACTGATGGGCGTTCACTCCTGTTCATCTCTGTTTCTTTTGCAGATGATAAATCCATTAAAGTGAGCTTGCGCCCGGCCAAAAGCATGGACTCCCTCAGCTCCATGCCGGATGCTAACGAGGGTAGGTGCAGAAATCCCAGGGAGTCATAGAAAGGGGGAGCTGGAAGGAACTTCATCTAGCCCATCCCCCAGTGCTAAGGCATGAATCAGTTTCCCTAGACCACCCCTTATGGGTCTCTGTATTAGGTATGTCCACGTGTAAGTGATTTATCCTATCGCCTGGTCTTATCGGTTAATTTTGTCAACTACACACACTCTTCTCACCCCCACCCCCCACTTGCTGCCTCTGAATCAGAGGCAGCACGGGGTGGGGAAAGAGCGGGAGCCGGTGCCCATGGGGTGCTGGCTTAAAACCCGGCTCCCCATGAGCAGCGGATCCACCTCCCCTTCACCATGCTGCTGGCTCTGATAGAGAGGCAACAGCACAGAGGGTGAGGGGGCAGGTGGGAGCCAATATACACTGGGAGCCAGCTTTCAAGCAGGCTCCCCACGCATGCTGGCGCCACAGACCCACCAACCCCCCACCTTGCTGCTACCTATGGAGGCAGTGGGGGGGGGTGCTGGGGGAGGAAGCTTAAAAGCCAGTTTCTCCCCCCCACATCAGCTGCACGATACCACCTGTGCCCCTCCCCCTCCGCACTGCTGCCTATTTGAGATGCAGCAGCATGGGGGGGAGCAGAGGACACTGTTGCAAAGCAGCCTCTGTCCACAGGGACTCTTTATCTACAGTCTCACTCTCTCACCTAGACGTTTGCTTTTTTTTATTGCTCTGGATCTCAAGACACTAACGTAGGTGCATAGAGTTGAATATCAGTCAGGAAAGGCTGCCCAGAACGCTGCCAGAAATTACCCTGCTTGCCGCAGCCTGACCAGTGCTCGTGTGGTTGGGGATCTGCTCTAGCAGCCAGGGCTGCCAGTTTTTAATGGATGTATTCCTGGAGGTTTCCTCGTGTGACATCACCTGCACGGGCCGAGTGCCTCCATCCAGCCCCAGACTCCTGCTGTGCGGGACACCGAGCGGCACCAAGCACAAGCCAGACGTGGACAGATCCCCACTTCCGCCACTCCGCTTGCGTTCCACACGCCGACAGCTCTGACTGCTGTGCTGCTCCTCCTGCTGCAATGAATACTGTGAAAATGGTGGTATTGGGCTAATGGAGTGATTCCTCCATAGTCGGTGACATCGCAGCTTTCACAGAGGCTTAGTAATGGGGAGCAGGGCATCTGCAATCTCTCTTACCCCCCCCCACACACACCCTTTTTTTTTTTACACCTATCCTATTCCTGAACACGGGCAGGGTGGATGCATTTACTCACCCCTCAGGTCTCTGATCTGTCTCCCCCTTTGTGTCAAACAAAAGAAAGTTTTTCTTCATGCAGCGCACAGTCAACCTGTGGAACTCCCTGCCAGAGGATGTTGTGAAGACCAGGACTTTTAACAGGGTTAAAAAAGAGCTAGATAAATTCATGGATGTTAGGTCCAACAATGGCTATTAACCAGGCTGGGTAGGAATGGTGTCCCTAGCTTCTCTTTGTCAGGGGTTGGAGATGGGTGACAGCAGAGAGATCATTTGATTTCCTGTTTTTGTTCGCTCCCTCTGGGGCATCTGGCATTGGCCACTGTCAGCAGACAGGATACTGGTCTGACCCAATATGGCTGTTCTTATATGTCTAGATGATGCCAGGTTGGGCAGGAAGAGGTCACAGAAGCAGGTCCTCCAGCGCCGAGAGAGTTTCGACAGCCCCTCCTCCCGGGACGAGAGCTTCCTGGAGTCAGAAGAGCATCCCGACGGGAAATTCAAGGGCGAGGAAGGGCAGCAAATGCTGGAGTCTGAGGGTGAAGCCAACACCAAATCAGAGCCCACAACCCCCAAAGCTGGCCGGGCCTCGCTGGTGGGGGGCGTCCCACAGGGCCGCTCACCCAAGAATGCACGGAACCGGGCAGAGAAGTGTGCTGGGGTCCATATCTCCGTCCCTTTCTCGGTCACCGTCCCGTTCCATATCACCTCCAACATCACCCTGTCCCGCCTGACCCGGGGGCTGGAGTGCCCGGCCCTGAGCTACTGTTCCTTAGACAAGGAGGCGCTGGAGAACTCGGCCAAGGAGCGAGAAGCAGAGGATGGACTGGGCGCTAAGATCCCCCTCACCAAAGACGATCACATGGGTAAGCAGCCGGTTTGGATTCGGGTCTGTTTCACAAGCGTGGCCCATGTTGAGTGGAGAGTCCTGTCGTGCCCGGTCCTGCCACTGTCCTTAATTCGGCCATTCACCTGGTGGGTGATTTTGGCCCAGTCACAGCCTGACCCTCCAAGGTGTTTAGGTGCTTAACATCCATGGGGAATTAGGCACTTACATGCCTTTGTCGAGCTCAGCTTTAGCGCTGCATTTCCAAAGGTAGCTACAGCAGGAGAATGGGAGTCCAGAGACCTAGCTCGAAGTCCTGGACTTATTGAAATCCCAGCTCCCCTGAAGACCAGCATTCAATCCCCCTGTCTGTGGCCAGCAGCCCCTGGGTGGCTCCTCTCTGTTGCCCCCCTTTGGGGAAAGGAGACAATGGTGCTTAGCCAGCTTAGTAAAGTGCTTTGAACTATGGGTGAAAAAGTGAAAGAATTCTAAGTGTAAAGCAACATGGGGGTAGGAGAGATTGAACCTGGGACCTTTGGAGCTAAAGCCACATGTCACTACCGCATGAGCTGAAAGCCAACTGATGGAGCTAAGGCTGCAGAGCATATGTCTCTTGCCCTTTCTCCATGGTTTCAGTGCCTCTGGGTTATAGAACTGGAGTATTGTGTCCAGTTCTGGGCCCCCCACTACAAAAAGGATGTGGACGCATTGGAGAGGGTCCAGCGGAGGGCAACCAAAATGATTAGGGGGCTGGAGCATATGACCTATGAGGAGAGGATGAGGGAGTTGGGTCTGTTTAGTCTGCAGAAGCGAAGAGTGAGGGGGGATTTGATAGCAGCCTTCAACTTCCTGAAGGGAGGTTCCAAAGAGGATGGAGAGAGGCTGTTCTCAGTAGGGACAGATGGCAGAACAAGGAGCAATGGTGTCAAGTTGTGGTGGGAGAGGTCCAGGTTGGATATTAGGAAAAACTATTTCACTAGGAGGGTGGTGAAGCACTGGAATGGGTTACCTAGGGAAGTAGAGGAGTCTCCATCCCTAGAGGTGTTTAAGTCTCGGCTTCACAAAGCCCTGGCCGGGTTGATTTAGTTGGTATTGGTCCTGCCTAGAGCAGGGGGCTGGACTTGATGACCTTCTGAGATCTCTTCCAGTTCTATGATTCTATGATGGTTGTTAAACCCCAGGCAGCCAAACACACCCAAAGGCAGCCTGTGCATATAGGCCGACTTGGCAGTCGCTTAGGGCGCTGCATTAAACGGGGTGCCCAATGCTGACGCACTGCCATTGAGGGCTTTGGATGCGGGGGTGCCAATCGCGCATTCCGCCAAGGGCGCCAGTTGCCGGCAGCTCGTCTCGGGCCGCCCCTGAACACACGCACCACATGTGAAACACAGCCCCGAAATAATCCCTGGAGCAGCTCCTAGAGAAACACCCAGTCTTGATAAAATCTGTCCATGATGGAGAATCCACCATTAGCTGTGCATGCATGTTAAAATGCAGGCCTAATTTCCAGTCTGAAATTGTCCCATTTCAACTTCCAGCCTTTGCATCATGGTAGAACTTTGGCTGTTAGACTGAAGAACCAGTTACCTGTTCCCCTGGTACTTACAGTCTGTGGTCACATCCCCCCTTCCTCTTCTCTGTGTTACACTGCGTAGGTCGAGCTCCTGAAGTTATCGTGGGGAGGTCGGTTTGCTAAGCCTTTAGCCAGGCTCATGATCAAATTGCCTTAAATAGTCACTAGAATTTTAATAGCCAAAAAGTAACAGAACTAACAGGGGCATTGTCCAAATTAAAAATTCCCCACCTGTTATCAATCTACTGTGTATCTGGGAGAGTTTGTCTGTCTGTTTTTCAAGAATGCCTCCTGAATGGTAAGCACTAGGACCACCAAATTTGGCAGGCAGCTTCCTGTTATCCCAGAGGTCAGCAACCTTTTAAAACCAAAGAGAAAAACTGCATCAAAATTCAGGAGAAGGGGTCGACAAAGAGCCGTATGAGTGCCCATTTGCATGACTGGAAATATACAACGTAATATTATTGAGAATTGACATGATTAATAATAGCATCAATGAGACATTGTACTCACAGACTTGATGTAATGGGACTTCTGCTGCTGCATCTTTTCGCACGTTGCTTTGACATTTACATGGGAGTGCAGGATCTGGACGGGAGGTGGAGTGTAGGAGGGGGTGAGGGTGCGGGGGCTGGCTGCCTGGACGGGCCGGAGGGCGCCAGGGCAGAGGGTGGGAGGGGGAGGGGGAAGGAGGGATTTTGGCCAGGGGGCAGAGGGTGTCTGGCAGG